CACTGTAGAATTCTCCCCTGAAACTCTCTGGGCCAAGGGTTTATAGTTATAGGGTTATTCAAGTGATCTGTTTCATATTAGGTTAGTTTTGGTAGTTTGTGCATCTGAATGATTGGTCCATTTTGTCGAAGTTGTCCAACTTATGTGTGTAGAATTTTTGTAGTATTTTACTTTGTAGAAGGTTGTGATAGGCCTTACTGAGAAAATTGTGTGTCAGATGTGCTCTATCCAGGCATCAAGTTTTAATGCTAGTGTCAGTGGTGAGGTCAGTGTTAGTGAATCTACAGTATATTTTAAGTAAGGTATCTTTAAATAGAAACACACATAAAACAAGATTATGTATTGATTGGTTGATGAAAATGTGACCAGAGGTGCCCAGGAACCGAACCCTGTATTTCTCCTGAGGGCAACAAACAGTTCAGGGCTAACTAACTCAGCATTTGTGGTGACCAGGAAGAACATACCTACCTTGAATAACAAGAATTTGTTAGGGCTGAAGTCTGTTCTTGTAGTTCTTTTCTGTTTGTTCCGTGTTTTAGTTTTGTGGGTTTTCCCTGCCTTCTTGTGGGTTACTTGAACGTTTTAAAATTCTGTTCTGATCTATGTGAGTGTTGCTGGGTGTATCTCTTTGTGCAGCTTTTGCAGGGGTTGTTCTAGGTATTGTATTACATATAATTAACTTTTCAGCCTTACCAGTTTAGGTTTAGTCACCCTACTTAGACCTCTCCCTGTCTGATTGTCTTAGAGGTTTTCTCCACACACACTGAGGACTTCATCATATAGTGTTACAACTTTTGTTTTAAGCATCAAAAGTAATTTTTTAAATGCAAGGGGAGAAGGAAATCTATTGCACTTACCCATATTTTTCCTTACTCTGTTCTTTCTTCCTTCCCATTAGTCCAGAATTCCTTCCTTATTGCTCCCTTTCTGTTTAGCATTCTTCACTGGTCTTTTTTAAGGTAGGTTTGCTGGAAACTAATTCTCTTCATTTTCCCTCATGTGAGAATGTCTTGATTTCCCCTTTATCCTTGAGGGATATTGTCCCTGGGTTTGGGAATCTAAATTGACATTTCTTTTCTTTCAGCCTTTGAGAAATGTGCCACTTCCTTCTGGTCTCTGTGATTTCTGATGAGAAATCCTCTGCCCTTGAAATGTTTTTTCCCCTAAAGGTACAGTGTCATTTCTTTCTCCTTGCTTTTCAGGATATTTTTCTGTCTGTAGATTTAAGAACCTTTGATCCTGATCCGGACCCTGACATGGATTTCTTCGAGTTCATCATGCCTGACTTTTGTTCAGCTTCTTCACTCTGTAAGCTTCTGTCTTTTGCCTCATTTAGGACGTTCTCAGGCACGATTTCTGCTTCTTCAGCCTGGCCCTCTTTCCCCTCTCCTTCCACAGCTCCAGCGGCGTGAACGTCGCTGTGCAGCCTCACAGATCCTTGAAGCTCTGTTCATTTTTTCCAGTCGATTTTCTTACTAGCATTCCTACTGGATAATATCTTTCGTTCTGTTTCCTTTCCTTTGTTCTTTCCATCCTCCTCTGAGCCCATCTGGTAAGTTTTTCATTTTCATTTGATTATTTTCCAAATGTTCTAAAATATCCATTGGGTTCTTCTTTATATCTTCTATTTATGTGCTGAAAAATGGTCCATTGTTGAACATTTCCATATTTTGGTTTATTTCAAGTGCATCTGTAATTGTTTATTTTTTTTTAGTATCATTAATATACAATCACATGAGCAGCATTGTACTTACTAGATTCTCCCCATTATCAAGTCCCCCACACACACTCCACTGCAGTCACTGTCCATCAGTGTAGTAAGATGCTATAGAGTCACTACTTGTCTTCTCTGTGTTTTACTGCCTTCCCCGTGCCCCCTCCTACATTATGTGTGCTAATCATAATGCCCCTTATTCCCCTTCTCCCTCCCTAACCGCCCCAACACCCCCAGTCCCTTTCCCTTTGGCAACTGTTAGTCCATTCTTGGGTTCTGTGATTCTGCTGCTGTTTTGTTTCTTCAGTTTTTGCTTTGTTCTTATGCTCCACAGATGAGTGAAATCATTTGGTACTTGTCTTTCTCCGCCTGGCTTATTTCACTGAACATAATATCCTCTAGCTCCATCCACATTGTTGCAAATGGTAGGATTTGTTTTCTTCGTATGGCTGAATGATATTCCATTGTGTATATGTACCACATCATCTTTATCCATTCATCTACTGATGGACACTTAGGTTGCTTCCATTTCTTGGCTATTGTAAAAAGTGCTGCGATAAACATAGGGGTGCATATATCTTTTTCAAAGTGGGCTCCTGCATTCTTAGGGTAAATTCCTGGGAGTGGAATTCCTGGGTCAAATGGTATTTCTATCTTGAGTTATTTGAGGAATCTCCATACTGCTTTCCACAGTGGTTGAACTAGTTTACATTCCCACCAACAATGTGGGAAGGTTCCCCTTTCTCCACATCCTCGCCAACGTTTGTTATTTGTCTGTTGGACGATGGCCATCCTAACTGGTGTGAGGTGATATCTCATTGTGGTTTTAATTTGCATTTCTCTGATGATTAGTGATGTGAAGCATCTTTTCATGTGCCTGTTGGCCATCTGAATTTCTTCTTTGGAGAAGTATCTCTTCATATCCTCCGCCCATTTTTTAATAGGGTTACTTGCTTTTTGGGTGTTGAGGTGTGTGAGTTCTTCATATATTTTGGATGTTAACCCCTTGTTGGATATGTCATTTTAGAAATAGATTCTCCCACACTGTAGGATGCCTTTTTGTTCTGCTGATGGTGTCCTTTGCTGTACAGCATGCTTTTCAGCATGATGTAGTCCCATTTGTTCATTTTTTATTTTGTTTCCCTTGCCCGAGGAGATGTGTTCAGGAAAAAGTTGTCCATGTTTATATTCAAGAGATTTTTGCCTACGTTTTCTTCCAAGAGTTTTATGGTTTCATGACTTACATTCCAGTCTTTAATCCATTTCGAGTTTACTTTTGTGTATGGGGTTAGACAATAATCCAGTTTCATTTACTTGCATATAGCTGTTCAGTTTTTCCAACACCAGCTGTTGAAGAGGCTGTCATTTCCCCATTGTATATCCATGGCTCCTTTATCGTATATTAATTGACCATATATGTTTGGTTTTTATCTGTACTCTCTATTTTGTTCCACTGGTCTGTGGTTCTGTTCTTGTGCCAGTACCAAATCGCCTTGATTACCATGGCTTTGTAGTAGAGCTTGAAGTTGGGAGGTGAGATCCCCCCTGCTTTATTCTTCCTTCTCAGGACTGCTTTGGCTCTTCAGGGTCTTTTGTGGTTCCATATGAATTTTGAAACTATTTGCTCTAGTTTGTTGAAGAATGCTGTTGGTATTTTGATAGGGATTGCATGGAATCTGTAGATTGCTTTAGGCAGGATGGCCATTTTGACAATATTAATTCTTCCTATCCATGAGCATGGGCTGTGTTTCTGTTTATTGGTGTCTTCTTTAATTTCCCTCATGAGTGTCTTGTAGTTTTCAGAGTATAGGTCTTTCACTTCCTTGGTTAGGTTTGTAATTGTTCATTGATGCAGTTTCATGATGGCTGCTTTAAAAAGCTATTCAGATAATTTTACATCTGTCTTGTCAGAGTGTCAGCATCTATTGGATTGTCTTCTTTCATTCATTTTGAGATCTTCCTGGTTCCTGGTGTGATGAATGCTTTTCTGTTGAAACGTGGACATTTTTAATATCATGCAGTGAGGCTCCTGATCTTATGCAAGCCTTCTGCTTAGCTGGCTTCCTGTGGTCCTGTTTCAGCAGGAAGAGAGGAGGAGGTAGCACCCTACCCACACCCACCGCCTTCATAACTGCTGGTGGGAGTGAAGTCCAGGATCCTGTGGTTTCTGCTCATACTCTGTGGGGAGGGAACCTCATTACTGTCTCTGGCATGAAAGAAAGTTCCAGTTCCCTACTGACCCTCTTTGGCAACAGCCCAGCTTGGAATGTCATTTAGCACTTGTTACAGTCTTGAAGAGTGGAAGTCTAAGCTCTCCACTCAGTCTTTGCCTCTGGGAGTAAAGTGAGCCTAGTTTTTTCCATGGTGTTCGGGTGGTGGTTATAGTCTAAATGTTTTGTGTCCTAGGTGCTGGGGAACGAACAGTCTCCTAAACATCCATAAACTGCTTTAGGATATTGCATTCCAGTTGAAAGAGAGACAGTCAATAAGTAAAATGTGGAATATTCCAAATATTGTTGCCTGCAGAACAAGACGAGACAGAACTTGCCCATTGTAGGCAAGATCATCAGGGAAGGTCTCATTGCTCAGGTGACATGCGAGCGAACCCCTGAGGGACCTGCAGAATATTTGGGGAAATGGCTTTCAGGTGGAGGACACAGCCTCCCAGGCATCAGTTTTCTGAGCATAAAGCTGGGGTGACTATGAGGAGGCGGAAATGATGGCTCTGAGAGCCTCACAAAGCCTGGGTTTGCACTTATCCTAATGTGAGCTCTTTGTTACGAAGGATTCACAATGGGGGTCCCCAGGTCCCAGCCTTGGAGAATGGGGTGATGTCACTAACATGATAATCATGGGCAGGGGCAGGGAGAGTGGGTTACAAAACCTCACGTTTAAATCTACTGAGTTTATGATTCACAGACCTCTCCAGTGTAGACATATGGCAGAACTCCGAAGACAGGTCTTTATTCCTTCAACTAATATGGGTGATCAGCTGCTGTGGTGCATGGAAAGGGATAAGGCAGGGGTCCCTGCCCATAGACAAAGCAGCTGTGGGTATTGGGTCATTGTCACACCCAAGGGGTGCTGGGAACTGAAGGGGAGTCAAGAGGAGGGTGTGTGAGCAGCTCCTGGGCATTGTCCTTAAAAGGAACCTGTATGTCTATGGAGCGAATGGGAGGGGAGAACTTTAGGCTTCCGGGTTGTCAGCCCGGGAGTGATGCAAGCGGGGCAAGGAGGCCGAGAGGCTGAGGGACGGGCCTGACCACCTCGCACATTTGCCTTACAGGCTCATGGAGAGATTTCTCATGGATGGATTGTATCCTTCACGGTTTGAAGTGCTCTTGTTCCTGCAGCCCCTCATGCCAACTCAACCCCACTTTCCATCCCTCTGCTCCAGTGGTCCAGGGAGGAGGGTGAGGTGGGTGAATGCACAGGTATCAAACCAACGACCCACATGGCAACATGCATAATCGGTGCTTGTCTGTTGGAGCTCACTCGTATTTGGGTTTCTTTATATCAGAAGGTAGTAGAAGAGCTCACAGGTCGAACGCCTGTATCTGAACTCCACCTTCTCCTCAGTGGCTCTGGCCTTGGGCAGTTCAGGTAACCTCGCTCACCCTAAAGCTTGCGCTTCCTAATGTTTAAAAATTCTGTGATAAAATGAACTTTGTGAAATATGAGCTGCCAGCCTACCCTCCTCCCGTGGATTGTCGCATTGTGCAGGTTTGGATCCTGGCAGCTGGGATGGTGTAAAGGCTCCCGGGTGAATCCACTGGCAGCCATGGATGAGAGGAGCCCTGGGCTCGAGCCCCCAACAATCTGAGCACACCTCGTTTCCCCTTCTGCCAAGTGCACCTGCCCGCCCACATCATCCTGGCTTTGCTGGTTAAATCACCCAGCATCTTGCAGCTTCAGGAAGTGTCATTCCCCAGGTGTTTTGTCTGGGTGTCATACACAGACAAACTACAGTTCTTGTAAATAGCTAGTTAGCTCTCAGCTTATGGAGGCTTTTTTCCCTGGAATGGCTGTATTGCTGCCCATAGCTGGGTTTCCTCCCTGGCCTGCAGGAGCCCGACCCGTAAAGGGGCTGGGGCATCCACAGCTGCATTTTGCAACTGCATGATGCTGTTTACGATGGCTTCTATGTAAAATCCCATTCTATGTCTCCCTTTGGACTTAGATTGCCTGGATAAACTCCCAGGCCCTCCCACCCCTTGTCTTTCCAGGGAGCTTGTGCCAGAAATATTTCAAGCTGAACCTCTGTTTGCAACAGTCATTCAATTTAAAATCTAAGTAACTCCAGGAAGAAGAGGAGAGAGGAGGCCCATTCCATCACACCGACCTGCAGCCCCAGCCCCACCCCTGCCAAGCACTTCCTTACCTCCCTTTTTATTCACTTTTGCTCCTTGACCTGAGCAGTCAGCCACAGCAGCTGTCCACGTATGCCCTGACGCTGTACAAGCACACGGCCACGGTGGATGGCAGGACTGTCCTTGTGGGTGAGCAGCAAATGGCTGAACCACACCAGCTCTCAAGGGGAAGATAGGGGGATGGGGAGGAGAGAGAACATCTGCTGGACAGAGTCAAGCAGGGAAGCAGCGTGAGTCCAGGCGGGACCCAGGGGCGGCAGGGAGGGAACCTGAGAGCCAGGGGGCCAGCGAGGGCGGGAGGGGGCGCGCAGGGCCTCGTTCTGCCCCCTGACCCGGGGTTCTGGTTTAACCCCTGCAAAGAAGTAAGAGATGTGGGCTGGACATTATCTTCCACGAAGGGTTTTGGCTTTTCCATGCCTGCCACGTGTGGTTACAAGTGGGAAGTCAGCCTGGGTTTGACCTTGGATGGTGATGCGTCCTGTGGGGGAGACGGGGGTGCCTGCCTTCCCCCTCTCAGGGTTTCCTGTCTGCAGTCTCCTTCCTCCTGGCCTTGGCCTTGTGTCTCTCTCACCACCCGCATGCACACAGGTGTGCACACCCACACCTCTCCTGGCACACCCAGGTACATTGTGTCCTTACAACACATACATGCAAGCTCTGTGGTCTTTGTACCACCCCGTCCTCCCCACATGTGTGTTGTGTTTCTGCACACAGAGACCTGCCCAGAGGCCCTCAGAGCACCTGGGTCTCTCTGCCCTCCAGCACCCATCAGTGAGTCAGAGCTACATTAATATTGCAGATTTCTGGGACACGGCAGGCCAGGAGCGGTTCCAGAGCATGCACGCCTCCTACTACCACAAGGCCCACGCCTGCATCATGGTATGAGACCAGCTGGTTGACAGACAAACACTCTGGGCAAGTCTGGCCTGAGGGGTGAGGGGGCAAGGGGCTGGCCCAGCAATCTTGAGCCCAGCTCTCCTCACTAGGGCTGGGTGCTGGTGAAGAAGGGATTGGGGCTGCCTGGGATGCTTCAGACTACATGTGTTTGCAGAAGTTCTGAGTGAGAACTTGCTGGGGGGGCTTCTCTTCAAGGGGGATAGTGAAGTGGGGAGGATCAAATCCATGGCTCCAGTGTCTGGCATCTAAGAGGCAAACACAGTGCCTCCCGGTGGAGCCCACCTACTCAAGACAGGCCCCCAAACCCTCCTTCAGCCATTACCTGGTGCTGCTCTCTGGGAACAGAGTGTAGGGCTGAGTGGGCCCTGTGGTTCCCAGGGGGCTTTCCCTCCCAGACCAGCCCTTCTCCTCCCGCCCAGCCTCTCACTTTGCCATCTAGAACACAACCCTCGGGGGTCCACCAGTACCCATGGGGCTAAAAAGTACTGTAAGACCACCTGAAACAGCTGTGGGAAGCACCAGGGAAAGAGAATAGAGCTGTGTAAGCCTATGTCTTTGAGGACCTCTTGTCCATGAACTCCTTGGCTGCATTCTCTGGCCCTACTGTCCCTTAAGCACAAAATTCCTTGAAAGTTTCCAAAATGTTAATTCTAGTACCTATAGCAGATGGGGCAGGGCAGGGCCAGAAGTCACCCTGGAAGGCGTGGATAGTTGGCATCTCTGACCCTGGAGAACTGGGGAGGTAGCTCCCAGCCATTTTTTGCACTGGTATTTGGTGCTTTGAGCTCACCTCTCTTTACTCTCTGGGAGCGACTACTTTCTGGCTGCTTTGGGGCCCTCTCCTGAGGCCCAGGGGTATCTCTCCTGCCAGCTGCCCTATATGCCTGTATGACAGGTGTCTGCTGCATGGGGCCTGGCAGGTAGAAAGTGCTTCCCTCCTGATGACCGCATGGGGATCTGATAGTCCCAGAGGAGGCCTGGGTTCCACCCTCTGCCTTGAAACCCTGATGGGGGTGGATGTTCCTTGTCCCAGCCAGCTCCTCATCAAGGAGATGAAGCTCAGGACACCAGACCTGGGTAAAAGGTGACTTAAACTTTGGTGATCATGGGAGATAAGCTTAGTGAGAAGCAGATTCCAGAGGTTTCATTATAAGCATGCTTGTAAGTTTTTACTAGGAATTCAAGACAGCCTAGTCATTTGTTGAAATTGTGAATTTGTTGAATATCATGGAAGAGCCTCCCAGGTGGACATCTTGCTGGCCCTGGCAGGATGTGACAGCTGATGACCCATGCCCACCGCCATGCAGGGTGAGCCTCTGGCCCTGAGTGTTGTCCCCGTTGCTCCCAGGAAGGGGTGGGTGGTTTCGAAGGAAAATCAGCTGTTCTAGCAGGTCACAGTAATGTCCATCTTGATCCACTGTTGTGCTGGGGTGATTTGGGCCTGTAAGTCTTCTAGAAGATGGCTGGGCAGCAGGACGCTGGCCTATGAGGGGCGCTATGAGGGCCTCGAAGGATCCCCTGCAGCGGCAACTCCAGCGTCTTAGGGCTTCTGTCCTCCCCTGCCCTAGCGCAAGTTCACAGTGCTCATGGTCCTTGTGATATTTTATAACAGGTAAAACTATTAACTATAAAAAGTTAATAAAATTATGGTAATCTACAAACTCTAAAAGGTAACAGTTAACTTTTAAAAAGTTTAAAATACAAAATAAACAGAAGAACTAAACAAAAGCTTAAAATTCAGTAATAACTAAAGGGAAATTCTAGACACATTTAAATTATTAAAAGGGATTTTAAAGCAAAGTTTAAGAATAAAAAGAATAGACTAAGGAAAAAGTTTATAATTTGTAAATGACTTCATTGGTTAGTAAAAGGATACAACTTGTTAAAATAGGTAAATAAGATTAGGTGATGAGAACAAAAAAAGGAATAAAGATTTTCAAACACTTTTGATTCTGGAGGTTCTAGCAGAGAAGGAGAGGCATTGGCTGCCTTTGTGGAAAGAGGGGTGCTGCTCAGAGCAGGTACCTGGCCTAGGTCCCCAAGCCTGAGGCACCAGCCGTGCTCACCTGCTTGTGTGTGAGTTGCCAGGTGGCTGCAGAGACGCCGACACACCTGAGCTGTATTCCTCCCTCTGCTCACGGCAGGTGTTCGATGTGCGGAGGAAAGTCACCTACAAGAACCTGAGCGCCTGGTACACGGAACTTCGGGAGTTCAGGCCTAAGATCCCTTGCATCGTGGTGGCCAATAAAATCGATGGTGGGGCCATCTCCGCATCTGGGTCTCAGCAGTTCATGGGGGGACCCGCTATGACCCACGTCCTCCTCCTTTCCCGGGGCAAGGAATCCGCAGTGACCCACGGTCCCTCCTGGCACACAGCCCTTGGCTGTGTGCATCGCTCACTCCCCTCACAGTGGACAGCCCACCTGCCCTCTTCCTGAGACACAGATCCCTGATGAATTAACTTTCTAGGGCTCGTCCCCTGATTGTCCTTGCCCATCCCACTTTCTGGAATGGGGCCTGACAGTGACTCACCCTGCAAAACCCTCCCTTTCCCTTGCTGGACAAGCCAATGTCCTGCCTTCTCTCTACAGCAGACATAAAGGTGACCCAAAAAAGCTTCAATTTTGCCAGGAAGTTCTCCCTGCCTCTCTACTTTGTCTCAGCTGCTGATGGTACCAACGTCGTGAAGGTAATGGCCTACTGCAGAGGCAGCCCAGCGAGGTGGGGAAGGTTAGGTGGTGGAGTGGCCAGGGAAGCCATGAAGAGAAGGGCTGGCTGCAGGAATAGTGGGGAGGACGGGAATTGTCCTGGGGCCTGTGAGTGGGCGTGTGTGACAGGAAGGGGTCATGATGAGTATCCACATGACAGCAAGGGATGGGCCTGGGCCTGGGCTTGGTGAGAAAAAGGTCTGACTGCGTGGAGTCAGCATGATGGGGAGAAGGTGAATTGAGGGGTGACCTTGATGATTTTGGGGGTGAAGTACTGTGTGTACCTAGGATGTGGCCAGTGAGTACAGGGCGGGCAGAGCCCAGGGCACTGGTACCCACTCCTTACTTTCCTTCCAACCACGCCCACCTGACCGCCAGCTCTTCAATGATGCGATTCGGTTAGCTGTGTCTTACAAACAGAACTCCAGGGACTTCATGGATGAAGTTTTGCAGGAGCTTGAGGTACGTCATGCCCAAATGTCAGGTGAGATAGAGAAAACAGCTTCTCTTAGAGGGCTATGGAACATAACCCACTGTGGTGGCTCCTGCCTGCCTTTGCAGGCAGCGCACGCTCATTGTGCCACCCCTGCAGGTACCAGATTCACAGGCAGGTGAATGAAGGGCCAGGCCTCACCAGCAACCTTATTTACAGAACTTTGAGCTGGAGCAGAAGGAGGAGGACGTGCCAGGTCAAGAGCAGCGTGACAACACCAGGAGCCCATCTCCTTCCTGAGCCAGAAGGAAGCCTCTCTGAGCCGACCCGTCAGGTGGAGGGAGGGCTTCCAGAATGCACCTCCCTCCCTGGGGCACCCCTCCACTTCGGAGCCGAGAAGCTCTCCCAGGCCGTCCTTTGCTCTGCTTCCTACAAACCCGCCCACCCATCCCACTTGCCTCTCCCTCTAATGGCCATGATACCTGACCCTTCCACAGCTGTCCCCTCTCTGTACTCACCAGCAGGCACCCTCAATAGCTGTAAGGGGTCCACACCTGGCCCTGAAGCAGAATTGGGGGTCGGTATCATAGCCCTCCCCCCAGGTTATGTGAGACAGGAGAATCAGGGAACCTGATTTGTGTGTCTCTTGAAGATAAGGAAATTTAGGTGTGGTTTTTTTCCTCCCAGAATGAACCTCAGGGCCTGCTTACTGCATTTCCACCAAGGGAGTGATTTCCAATCCCTGACTACCCCTATTGCCTTCCCTGAAAAATTTGGGAGGCCTCCATCCTTTTTCTTCTCTTCCAAACAACTTCTTTAAAAAAATGGTTTTGAGCAGACAGCTATTCATTCCACTGGTTTTCCAGGAGCCCTTCTAGGTACTGCCTGCATGTTGGGGAGCAGTGAGGCTGAGACCTAGGGCTGCCATTAAATCCAATGAAAGCAGATTATAGGTCTAGCCATGCTTAGTAATACACAAGTGTCACTGTTGGTAAACATCAATGGGCTATATCACAGGGCACACCATTTGGATTCTAAGAAATTAAGAAGAGCTTCCTCTAAAACCCCCATTTCAGCACATGAGCCCTCCCTTCATTTTTTGGAGGGTGAGTGTGGACACTGCCCTCTCTGGTGGCAAGGCCCAGCTGTCTTGTCTACTCCCAGATCCAGTACTTGTGCCTCACTAGCAGGATTTCATGATTGTCCTCTGCAGCATTTCCATTGTTCTATTTATTGTTTCTATTTTACAGTAAAGGTTAAATTACATAAACATCGAGTATACAGGCATTTCACTGAGCAAAAAGTCACACAAAAACTTGCAGAGTACCCACCACATTAATGAGGGGAGACTGCCTTGAACTATCAAGTGAAGGTAACCCAGGCTAACTCCAGATTTACTCTACAGAGACCATTTCAGTGGGATTTTGTGTCTTAAAAAAAATGGGCATTTGGAGTGAACACCAAACATTTTTCCCCTTTGCATTACCGATGCTCAGAATCTCAGCTGAAGAGATTTAACCTGACCAGGAATTTTCAGGAAGTCGTTTTGGTGACTTTTAAAGTCACCAAACCTTTAGTTACTGTAAATGACTTACAAGTACTTTTGCAAATAGCTTTATTTAGCTGTAATTCAAATCCCTAACATTCATCATCAGTATTGGTTTCACGTAACGGGTTTTGCATCAGGTTTCCTAGAAGTGGAGGCTGAAAAGGCAATTCTTGTTCCAGTGACTAATTGGGGCCCTTGTCTCAGAAGTAAAAGGAGAGCAGGGGAGGGCAGGAGGCAGGAATCTGAGCGAGGTTCTCAGGGGTCAGCCTCAGTTCCCCCCGCCCCCAGCCCCAGGGGAGTCCCGGAGGAGAAACTGCTGCACAGTCCGTCAGCTTCAAAGCCAGTCAGGAGGTCGAGGTGATGGTTCACAGTATGCGGGCAGAGTGGCAAGGCCAGTTCTCGGGGAGGGAGTAGCTATGAGTTTTGTCCATCAACACTGAGAGTAGCTAGTGGATGAGTGCTCAGCAGGGCGGTGGGCACAGCCACCAGCCCTTACACGGGTGAGACCCATGTGCTTCCTGAGGATCAACCCCTCCTAACACAGGGAACCCATCCCTGAGGCTGTCTTTCTATTGAGGTGAAATTTACATAACGTAAACTTCCTAGTAAACCATTCACTGCCATTTAGTACATTTACAGTGTTGAGAAACTATCACCTCTCTCTAGCTCTAAAACATCTCCCTCCCCAACCCAAAAATCAAACCCCTTACTCATTAAGCAGTTTCTCCCTCAGACCCTGGCAAATACAATCTCCATCCCATCTCTATGGATTTACCTATTCTGGACATTTCCTGTGAAGAAATACTACCATATGTGACCTCTGTGTCTGTCTGCTTCCACTTGGCATGACGTTTTCAAGGCCCGTCCATATGTCACGTACTTCATTCCTTCCTACAGCCAAACAATGTCCCATTCACCCATTGATGGACATTTGTGCTGCTTCCACCTTTTAGCTATTGTGAGTAGGGCTGCTATGAACATGACTGTATGGTGTACATATGAGCACCAGTCTTAATATTTTGTGTGTCTTAGTCTTCTCAGGCTGCTAAAACAAAATATCATTGACTAGGTAACAGGCATTTATTTCTCACAGTTCTGGAGTCAGAACTCTAAGATCACAGAGCTGGCAAGGTAGGTTTCATTCTGAAGCCTATCTTGACTCATAGGCAGCTGCCATCTCACTGACCTCTTATTTGTGTTCAAACAAAAGGAAAGAGTTCTGTTTCTTTAATGCTTCTTAAAAGATGACACATTCTATGATCCCATCATGACATTTGGATTAGGGCCTCACCTTTTTGACCTCACTTAATCTTAATTACCTCCTAAAGACCCCATCTCCAAATACAGTCACATTTAGGATTGGGGCTTTACCAAACGAATTTGGGCAGTAACTCAATCCACAGCACAGTATATATTGAGGGGTGGAATTATAGGATCATATGGTAATTATATGTTTAAATTTCTGAGGAACTGCCAATCAGTTTTCCAAAGTGGAACCAGCATGGTATCAATGTCAGAGTTCCATGTCTGCTTGTTAATATTATGTAAATTTCACCTCAATATATTATTTTGTTTTTTAAAAAGAATACAAGCAATCAACAAAAAGGACAAAAACCTCATGATCATCTCCATAGATGCTTAAAAAGCATTCAACAAAATTCAACATCCATTCATGATAAAAACTCTCAACAAAATGGGTACAGAGGGCAGGTACCTCAACACAATAAAGGCCATATATGACAAACCCACAGCCAACATCATACTTAACAGCAAGAAGCTGAAAGCTTTTCACCTAAGATTGGGAACAAGACAGGGATGCCCACTCTCCCCACTTTTATTCAACATAGTACTGGAGGTCCTAGCCACGGCAATCAGACAAAACAAAGAAATAAAAGGCATCCAGATTGGTCAGGAAGAGGTCAAACTGTCGCTATTTGCAGATGACATGATATTGTACATAAAAAAACCCTAAAGACTCCACTACAAAACTACAAGAACTAATGTCTGAATTCAGCAAAGTTGGCAGGATACAAAATTAATACACAAAAATCTGTTGCTTTCCTATATACTAACGATGAACTAGCAGAAAGAGAAATCAGGAAAACAATCCCACTCACAATTGCATCAAAAAGAATAAAATACCTAGGAATAAACCTAACCAAGGAAGTGAAAGACCTATACCCTGAAAACTATAAGACACTCTTAAGAGAAATTAAAGAGGACACTAACAAATGGAAATTCATCCCATGCTCTTTGCTAGAAAGAATATTGTCAAAATGGCCATCCTGCCTAAAGCAATCTACAAATTCAATGCAATCCCTATCAAAATACCAACAGCATTCTTCAATAAACTGGAACAAATCGTTCTAAAATTCATATGGAGCCACAAAAAACCCCGAATGGCCAAAGCAATCCTGAAAAGGAAGAATAAAGCTGGGGAGATCTTATTTCCCAACTTCAAGCTCTACTACAAAGCCACAGTAGTCAAGACAATTTGGTACTGGCACAAGAACAGACCCAAAGACCAGTGGAACAGAATAGAGTCCAGATATTAACCCAAACATATATGGTCAATTAATATACAATAAAGGAGCCATGGATATACAGTGTGGAAATGACAGCCTCTTCAACAGCTGGTGTTGGAAAAACTGGACAGCTACATGCAAGAGAATGAAACTGGATCATTGTCTAACCCCATACACAAAAGTAAATTTGAAATGGATCAAAGGCCTGAATGTAAGTCATGAAATCATAAAACTCTTAGAAGAAAACATAGGCAAAACTCTCTTGGACATAAACATGAGACATTTCTTCATGAACATATCTCCCTGAGCAAGGGAAACAAAAGCAAAAATGAACAAGTGGGACTATATCAAGCTGAAAAGCTGCTTCTGTACAGCAAAGGACACCATCAGCGGAACAAAAAGGCATCCTACAGAATGGGAGAATATATTCATAAATGGCATATCTAATAAAGGGTTGACATTCAAAATATATGAAGAGCTCATGCACCTCAACAAACAAAAAGCAAACAATCCAATTAAAAAATGGGCAGAAGATCTGAACAGACACTTCTCCAAAGAAATTCAGATGGCCGACAGGTACATGAAAAGATGCTCCACATCACTAATCATCAGAGAAATGCAAATTAAAACCACAATGAGATATCACCTCACACCAGTAAGCATGGCCACCATCCAAAAGACAAACAACAACAAATGTTGGCGAGGATGTGGAGAAAGGGGAACCCTCCTACACTGCTGGTGGGAATGTAAACTAGTACAACCACTGTGGAAAGCAGTATGGAGATTCCTCAAATAACTCAAGATAGAAATACCATTTGACCCAGGAATTCCACTCCTAGGAATTTACCCTAAGAATGCAGGAGCCCACTTTGAAAAAGACATATACACCCCTATGTTTATCGCAGCAGTATTTACAGTAGCCAAGGAATGGAAGCAACCTAAGTGTCCATCAGTAGATGAATGGATAAAGAAGATGTGGTACATATACACAGTGGAATATTATTCAGCCATATGAAGAAAACAAAACCTACCATTTGCAACAACATGGATGGAGCTAGAGGGTGTTATGCTCAGTGAAATAAGCCAGGTGGAGAAAGACAAGTACCAAATGATTTCACTCATCTGTGGAGCATAAGAACAGAGCAAAAACTGAAGGAACAAAACAGCAGCAGAAGCACAGAACCCAAGAATGGACTAACAGTTGCCAAAGGGAAAGGGACTGGGGTGTTGGGGCGGTTAGGGAGGGAGAAGGGGAATAAGGGGCATTATGATTAGCACACATAATGTAGGGGGGGCATGGGAAAGGCAGTATAGCACAGAGAAGACAAGTAGTGACTCTATAGCATCTTACTACGCTGATGGACAGTGACTGTAATGGGGTATGTGGGGGGATTTGATAATGGGGGTAGTCTAGTAACCACAATGTTGCTCATGTAATTGTACATTAATGATACAAAAAAAAAGAATACAAACAATGTCAAGGATCCCAATTTACTCATGTCCTTGTCAGCACTTGTTATTTTCAATTTTTAAAGGCAATTTTAGCTATGCTAGTAATTGTAAAGAGGTGTCTCCTTGTGGTTGTGACTTGAATATCCCTTACACTAATGATGTTGAATATTTCTTCATGTGCTTGTTTACCATGTATAGATTTTCATTGGAGATCTATCCAAGTACTTTGCCTGTTTTTAAACTGGGTTGTTTTGTCTTCTTGTTGATGTAAGAGTTTTTTTATATATTCTATATATTAAATCCTAATCATATTTATGCTTTTCAAATATTTTCTCCCATCCTTTAGATTGTCTTTACACTTTCTTGATAATGTCCTGGATGCACAGAAAATCCAGTTTATCTTTCTTCTGTTGTTGTTCATGCTCTGGGTGTCATAACCAGGGATCGATTGCCAAATCCAAGGTCATGAATACTTGACCCTTATGTTCTCTTCTAAGAGTTCTATGGTTTTAGTTCTTATATTTAGGTCATGGATCCATTTTGAGTTAATATTTTTATATGGCATAAGGTAGGGGTCCAATTTCATACCTTCACACATGGATATCCAGTTGTCCCAGCATCACTTTTTAAAGAAAACATCCTTTTCTTTTTGGATAGCCTTACCACCCTTGCCAAAAATCAATTGGTCATAGTTGTATGAGTTTATTTCTAGACTCTCAGTTCTATTCCATTGGTCTACATGTC